TTCTTCTTCTTCTTCTTCTTCTTCTTCTTCTTCTTCTTCTTCTCAGCCGAAAATCAACACTGGGGTCAGATGTATAGATTTTCAGTAGATGCCATTTTGTTCAAGTCTACAGTGTCTTTTATTATTCCATGTTTACAAATTGTAAAAACTCCACCTATAAAGTTGATGTATCAATTTCCATCAGGCTAAAATCCGAAAGAAGTAACTCATTTTGTCAGATTGCCTCACATGAATTTATTTTTCGTTTCCCCTTTCTCCTCTTGCCCAGACTACGATTTCCGCGCCACCGGGAACATCCCCTGCCAGCTGCAGGTGTTCACCGTCTATGTGTTCACAGAACTCAGCGCCTGGACGCTCATTGTGGTCACTTCAGAGAGGGTGGTGTGCATCCTCAAGCCGCACAAGGTTAAGCTGCTGTGCACCAAGTTCAAATCCTACGTCATTCTCGTATCGTTGACCGTCATATTCTTCACGGCCAACTTACCCATTCTATTTATATTCGGACGGAAGTACGTGTATGACCCAGTTCTGAACGTGACGATCGAAGAGCCGTGCGTCCCGATATCCACGGACGAAGATCTCAATAAAGTGTGGTTTATGAGTCACTTCATCAAACAAAGCCTGGTGCCTTTCATCATCATCTTCGTCATGAACATTATCATGATCGTTGGGTTGTTCAAACGAAAAGAATTTGTCAAAGAATCCATGCGCAGCGGAGGGGGAGGTGGGAAAAAGAGACAGATCAGCGCAAAGTCTCAGGGTAACTCAAGTACCGCCGAATCAATGACGCCATCAACTTCTGTGCAGAGTGTCAGCTCTACTACACAGATTGTTGTGACGTCACAGCCAACTTCCGGTGAAGGAAGTTCTTCCCAAGCAGCTTCCAGACGAGAAACTGCCCTGACGAAAAATCTAATCATGGTGAACGTTGTGTTTCTCATGTGTACGTTTCCGATAGGGATCTATCAACAGATTGTTCCGCGACCCCCTGAGAAAGATTTGGACCCCCCATCTGAGACTATAGTATTTTCCATGCTTGTTTTCGTTCTTTATCTCAACAATACTCTCAACATTTTCCTCTACTGTGCCAACGGATCCAGGTTTAAAAAGGAGCTGTCAAGCATGCTGAAGGAAATGAAACTGTTTTGCAAAGGCTCACAGAAATATTCGTAATATTAAAACATTAATTATTTCTTCTTTCGTCGTTTGGACCAGTCAGAGAAGCATGTTGATGGAAATTAAACTGTTTTACAAAGGTTTACAGAAATATTCATAATATTAAAACATTAATTTCTTTTTTGTTTGGACCAGTAAGTGAAACATGTTAATGGACATGAAACTGTTTTGCAAAGGTTCACGAAAATATTCCAAATACAACTTTAATTCATCCCTTCGCTTGGACCAATAGGTGAGCAACATACGTTACGGTTGGACTTAGGTACATGAGTGGGTTTTTAATTAAATAGTTTTATAATTATTTGAGTTTTTGTTTTTTGGATTGTTCGTTTTTCCTCTGTTTTTGTTACTACACAAAATAAAGGAGAGGTCGAACTGAGACGCGAAACAGTTGTCTTCATAATACGTTAAATAAGCAGATATTATTAATCTGAATAATACTCAGAGATAGCTTCTTTTTTCCTTAGTTTTTGTGTTTGTATGTGTGTTTGTATGTGTATGTGTGTGTGTGTGTGTGTGTGTGTGTGTGTGTGTGTGTGTGTGAGAGAGAGAGAGAGAGAGAGAGATAAAACAGCAACAACAGCAACAACAGCAACTGCAACAGCAACAGTAACAACAACAGCAACAACAACAACAAAAACAACAACAAATTAAAATAAATCTTATTATATGTATTGCTGGAATGTTAAACGTTTTAGTACATAAGAATCAAAACATAATAATAATAACATACAAAATATACCGAATCTTAACGTTAAAACATGTTACAAATTACATCACATAAAACGATATTGATTGTGATACTGGCAGTGCATTGACTAACATAATATTATGAGGTTCAAATGACAAATTGATTAGTAGATAGATATATATTCAAACTTTTTAGAAATATATTTTTTAAAAAGGGAACAAAGACAAATAAGTAGAAGCCAGAATTT